AGAGTTTAGAATCAGCTTAGAGATATTTTCTTGCTGTCTTTAATATTAAAGAGTTTGAAATTTTCAAACCGCCTACAAATGCTAATGTTTTATAATTTTTAAAATTGAAAAAATTCAAACTAACTTGAAATACAGTATGATGAACACTGACAATAGATCTTATTATCTCCTGTCACAGGAATCTCTAATAACAGTCTCTTGAAATGTTGAAGAGGACATCATTTTTCATTATCCTTTTATTTTCATTTACCATGAACAAATTTTTCTAACAATATTAATTTCCTCAGGGCTGGGGATTTAGCTCAGTGGCAAAAGCACCTGCCTGGCAAGCGCAAGGTCGTGAGTTTGGTTCTCGGTACCGGAGAAAAAAAAAAAAAAAAAAAAAAAAAAAAAATTAATTTCCTCTATGAACGAATAATGCTTCTTCATTGAAAAGCTGTTATTGTAGTGGAATATAGCTATGGCTGTTTATTAGAATCAAATCTTTACAGCCTTCTATTACATTTGCCTTCCGTCAGATCTGAGAACCATCGCTGATAATAGTTAGGCCCACGTGTGCTTGACAGTTATGCTTTGGATTACAAGTAGCCAGTGGTAAAAACAAACCCAGTGAAATGTTAAGGACACAGGTTTGGGTAACATGGCTGGGAAAACAGGACAAAAAATAATTTGCTTTGCTTGTCAGCAAGACATTTGTTATGTCTTGATTCCTATGGGCAAATCACCCTACAGGGCACACTTCCAAGAAGGCTCATCACGAACTTCTCCCAGTATCGCATGTACAGCATGCACATTTCTGTGCTACCTTTATTTTTATGATCATTAATGGAGTACAACTGATTTTGCGTTGTCTTTAAAGATGTGAAAATTATGGTTGCAAAGTAACCTGGTAGAGGTGCAAGTGAACACAAGCACTTTTCTAAAAAGAATTATTTTAAATATATGCAAATAGATATGAATTCAGAGTCTGTCTACTTCATTTCTTGGTTGGAAGTTTATTATCCTAAAATGGGAAATAAATGTGTGAATTCTATCAAGGGTGCGAAATTCTCCACTTGTACAGACTGGAGAGTTGATAATCATTATGAAGAGAGCAATAGCAGGAATGATATGAAAGTTTAGCAACATTTTAATTTTAAATGCAAGTATTTTGGGAAGTGTTTAGAATCTGCTTGGAGAGATTTTCTTGCAGTCTTTGATATTAAAGAGTTGGAGATTGTCAAACAGCCTACCAATGCTAATTATCTTGTTATTTTAAAATGCATTTGCTAATCTTTTCTATTTGTAAAGCTGCTTATCCAAAATATGTCCAAATCTGATACACCTCTGTGGCCCGGCTTAACCTAGCCTAAGTGGAACTTAACCTTTCCTCTCTTCTCACATCACTGGACAATGGGCCTCAGCTGCAGGGAGTGCTGGAGACGTCCGCCCAAGCTCCAGGCCAGCTGGACAGCCGGCTCCCCTGCTTTGCAGCCAAATAGACACTTGGCATCAAGGTACCCTAGGGCAGAGGTTTAACATGGCTTGAATGAAGCTTGGATGTTGAAGTGTCTATCCCTTTAGGTTGATGTCACTGGGAGTCCAAGACCCCTCTTTTATTAACTGGCCTCTCACATAGATGGCAATGATGACAGAAAACAGCCAAATGCTAAAACAGTTGGTTCTTTTTTATTATTTGTAATTTTGTCTATTTGCATGAGAGCCTGGCAGCATATGGCCTGATGAATTAAAAAAAACAAAGCCCTGTAAATTCTCCTCTACCGGCCAGAGCCTCCAGCTCATGGCATTAGCAGTGGCTAGCGCTGCTCCACCTGCCACTTGTCTGGAGGGTGAGGGCATAAACTGATGACCTACTGGGCTTTCCCAGCCAAATAGTGCCCAGCTAATGCCATGATTTAATTCCTAACAGTACTGTCAGAAATTGCTAGAAGAGGCAACACCCACTGTGTCTATAGTAAATCTGATTGGTGAGCTATCCACTCTCGGCTGCACCTAATATGCTACACTAATTGTGCTCTATCAGGCCAGCAGGAATAATGCTTCTCATCTGTGTACACGGGGCAGGGATGAGCAGAAATACACAGGGATGTATGCTTATATTATCATTCCACACTAAAAGGGAGGAGAGGTAAACCTGGGAAAAAAACAGATAACTATGCAGTGCATCTGTTTAATTACACATTTGGTCTTTTCAAAGTCAGATATTTATATTGTTCTAGATTTTTGTACTTTTAGATTAGCCATTTTAGGGGGGTCATCAGTTTGGGGAAAGGAAATTTATTTTATCCTTTCTTCCTAACCTTTCTTTGCCTGAAACAAAGACATTATAAAAATTTAGGTTAAAGCTTTAGAGTGAGGCTGAAACACAGATCTTTTTTCTTTCTAATTTTATATACAGAACATTAGATTGTATTTGTCAACAAACTATACAAACGGAAAAACTATACATGCTTTCATTAATGAAACTGGCATAAAAGTAAGAAACAAGTCATCTTAAAATTCAAGTTCAGTGTAATAATACATTTTGATCTAGTTTAGATGGTTTGTGTTTCTTGCATTTTTAAGACTGTGGAACACATTTTTACTAGAAACATATATTCAGCTTTGCCAGCAACCTAAGGAAGGAGGAAGTAATTGGAGAGGAAAAGCTTCCATGACCTTATCAAATGAGGGATTTTCCTGATAAGCCACAGGGGACACAACCAGCGTTGTGAGCCTGGGCACGGATATACGATGGTCTGTATTACTGAACACAAGTGCTTGCTAGAAGGAAGGCATTGCTATTTAACTAAATCCTAAAGAACCTTCTATGATATAGGTATGGTGGATATTAAAAGCATTTAACAACCACTTGGACAAGGACACTGACCAATCAGTACGGCCATACTGGAGTAAACTTCTAGAAGTCTCCCTCTAGTTGATGAGCTTTCAGTACTTTGGTTCCAGAGTTTGGCCAGATCTGGAGAAACTGGTGTGGAATGGGACGTGAGAACTGCGAGCCGTGGGCAGCAGCCCTTTTATCAATGTATGGACGTGCTTCACTATTTCCTAACCAGTGTGGCTGTGACTCTGAGTACTGGCCGAACATCAGTTCCAGAGGCAGGCTTTGTTTAACTGCGAAGACATTGTGGCTGAGGCTAATTAGCCATATTTTTAAAAATCACACTGTTAATAGGAGGCCAAACTTGGCTTTGAATCTATATCTGTCTCACTCTGGATGTTCTTTTGTTCTACACCATGTCACTAATATATTAGTGTATTTCATGATATTTTGCCCTGTGTTGAGCCCATTTAGTATTCCTGGATAGTTTGTTCAAAGTGAGTACATTTTTTCCTGAGATTACTTCTGAATAATATGGATAAAGATGTCAGCTATACTCTAGCAAGTTATATAGGTTGACAGAGAGCAACAAAAGTATCTTTCAAACTCAACTGACTTTAAGATTGGAGGGGTTCATGTTCTTACATGTAAATGGTGGTTAATAAGTTTATTCCATTACAATAAAACCTTTATTGTTGTACTCTGTATACACAGATGTGTGTTGGATATATATATACAAGCCATGCTTTTCTGTAATCTATAATTATAGGTGAGAGAAAGATACTGAATTATTGAAAAAAAAAAAACAAAGTACTATTTGTTTTCAGTAGAGAGAATAAAATTTAAATTGAACAAAAGTAAGTGAGAAAATTTTGCTTCAATTCAAAATGAAAATAAAAACCAAAGCTTAAATTATGAAGAACACTTTGAGGTTTAATATTTTTATGTGTAGAAGTAAGATTTGTGCTGAGAAGTAAGATATATCAGTGTTGTTAAGTGGTTGTTTTTTTTTTTTCCCAAGGAAATAAAGAGATTTTGCAAATACATTGCAAATAGATGCTAATTAAGTTCTGTTCCTTCTTACTGGACCAACCATAATAATATTGTAGGTACAGGCAAATGTATAACCACATTATATTTAGGCAAATACATTCAAGAACATTGATTTCCCCGAATAAAATATAGCTGCAAACAGTCTCTAGTGTATAAACAGAATTCAGTATTGCAGAACTTCATATGTAAATGTAAATATATATAGGGCAAGTTACATATGTTGATTTGCTCACTTAGTTGTTATCTATAGTAAAGAATAAACTAGAGAGCAGATTATATTTTATGCCTCATTCTCCACATGTTATATTGTTAAGAAGGAAAAACATTCTTGGGTTCTAAATGTATTTTCTGGAATAGACTTGCTTTCAAACCTCTAGTCCTGACATTAAACAAAAAAAGAAACAAACGAAAAACTCATAGGTTAGGTCACATCCTCCATATTTTCTCAGGAATAAGTCAGAAGTTCATTACGCAAAGGGATAACAGGGTTTTGTTTAGATTTCTAGAGTGATTAAAACTCTTTGAAAAACAAATCTAAGGGCTCTAAATTCTGACTATCAATGTAGATTGTAATGCACAGAATTTCATAGTTGGATGCAACTTTAGATATCATTATATTCAGTAAACCTTCCCCATCTTAATGTCTTGGTTATTTTTCTCATTTCTCAGACAGAATACCTGACACCCGAAGTTTAAGGAGGAAAGGTTTATTGTAGCTCAGCCGGTAGAGGTTTCTGCTCACAGTCAGATGGCTCTCAGGCAGGGCGGCATGGCAGAGAGGCAAGGCAGAGCACCAACAGCTCATGGCAGACAGAAGGCAGCAAGGCAGCAAGCGGTGAAGCAGCAAAGCAGCAAGAGACAGCAGCGACCCTCTTTCTGTCCCTTACAGTCTGTCCATGGCTTTCCCATTATCCACACCCAGAACTACGTCAAACCAGTCAGCGGACTAATTTAGTAATCACACAACCTTAACACCGGCATCACGCACTTAATCCTATTATCACAAATAATTCTTTCTTCTTCTTCTTCATGTAATTCACAAGCACAGGTTAGGGCTAAACAATGTGCATGTTTTTCCTGGTCCACTTTCCTTACTGGTCTGGTCCAAGCTAGCTATATAGCAAGACCCACAGGGTACTTGAAGGTTCCATGTCAGGAAGTATTTCTCTTACTTTAGAGCCCTCCGTGTATTAAAATATCTATTCTGTTGCTACCAGGGGTGCATATAAGGGTTCCTGAGTGTATTTTAAAGAAAAAGGGCTTCCTTTTTTCAAAACTGTGTCTGTTACAAAAGGCTCTGTTAAGGTGGAAAAATATTTTGTCATAAAGCAGAAGTGTGAAAGAAAACCCAGCAGTGACAATAATCACAACTCTATGTGCGCGTATACTGAAGAAGTTCACCTGCCTGACATTAACCTATTGTTGACTTCTCGGTTTTAGTATTTGGAGGTTGACCTGGACTTAGCTGTGCTAAGCTGCCTGCTCCACAGGAAATCACCTCCCTTGCTGCTGCTTGCTGCTTTCTCTTTAGCCAACACCCAAAGCCACTGCCAATGTCAGGGAGATGAGACTTCACAAGGTAAGTGAAAAGAAAACAGGAACAAATGTATTTTCAAGCAGAATTTGGTGAAGACGTTAGCTCGTGATAGGAAGCACCACCTCGCGGGGATCCTGCCGGTGTGGGGAAGCGACATACAGCCCCGGCTCATGTAGAATCCTATATGGCGTGCGTGAAAGGGGACAGATCCTAGGTTCCCAAGGGCCTTTTCTGAGATGGAAGCAGATTTTGTTGTCTAGACTACAGGAAATGCTTTATTTGGGGGGTGGTGATCAGAATTTTAAGAGCCAAAGGATGGCTAGAGAGTGCAACTAAAATTTTATGGAGTGCTTGGCTTTTAGAAGGCCTTTTTCTTATTTCTTTTTGTTTCATTTTCTTTAAGCCCAAGATACAAATTAAAATTTAGTGATCCCAGTGAGATAGAGGCTTTATTATAATAGCCAGCATCCTCTGGCTTTTTTTCTTCCCGATGGGAGTTTTGAAGTTGAGGTGGAATCAATATCATGTCTAAGATTTTTCGTAGACTCCTTTTCAGCAAATACAGAGTATATATGGCTGTGTTATTTTTTTATTTTTATTTTTCGTCTATTTGAGACAGGGTCTCGCTCTGCAGTTCAGGCTGGCCTTGAGCTCAGTTTGTAGCCCAGGCTGGTCTGGAACTCACAACAATCCTCCTGCCTCAGCTTCCTGAGTACTGGGATTAGAGACATGTGCCACCATGCCTGGCCCAATATATTGTTCATAATTGATTCATTCTTTTTTTCTTTTTTGTACTGGGAATTGACCTTGCACTTGCCAGGCAGGCATCTGTGCCACTGAACTATTTCCCAGGCCCTGGCTGTTTTAAATGAGTGTTTTATAATCATCTAAAAATGCCACAAGTTTCAGTGTAAAGTAGCTTTTTCCTATGTTGTAAATATTAGAGTCTTAAGACTTCCTTAAGCCTTTTTCACGAGAAGGCAGCGAGACTTGAATAGATATTTGTGATCCTGATTTTTCAAAGATTTGCTCCCCCTGACCTTCGGGCCTTTGTGCTTCTCCTGTCTGTTCCCTTTCCGTCCTCTTCCACCCTCGCAGAACACAAGACGCCCAGTTAAGACGATGAAACCAAAAGTTTCGAAAAAAGTTGAGACAAAGAGCACTAAAACGGGCTCCTTTTGCTTTGGTTTTGACTCATTTCACACATATTTATTGATTTAAGTTGCTTTGTTACATTTTCAGTGTCAAAGTCAAAATTTTGGCATGAGGACCCTCAACTTGCCACAGTTCAACTTATAATTGTAACCACGTGTGAAAGTGATAGGCATTCAGTCAGAACCATGCTACGAATTATGAATTGTGATCTTTTCCAAAGCTAGCAGGGTGGGGCACGATGCTCTCGCGAGTTCCGGGCAGTGGTGGTGAGCGGTGGCTCCCAGTCAGCCGTGTCGTCAGAAGGGAAAGAGCTGAGACCTGTAGTGAGCTGTACTGCTGAGCGATGATGCTTGGTAGGTTAGGCTTATTAAACACATTTTGAATGGGCACCATTTTCAATTTAGGATGGCTTGTTGGGATGTATAAACCTCGTATAAACCGCGAGGTGCTGCATTTGCAAGACCATTTCCTTCCAGCCTAGAGAATTGTCTTTCATTTTCATGCATAGTGGACCTTTTAGCAGATATCCTGTGCAGTAGCCCTGTGTTGATACAGGCAATTTTAAATTCCCAGTTCTACCCTGATGCCTATTATCCCAGAGGCCACTGGGCATGCGTTTATACCAGTTTCTTTTTTCCTTAACCTGAGATGTTTTTTTCACTGTGAAACTGTCTTGTTTTCTATTGGTGGATTTTATATCTACATCTCTCCAAGCTTGACAGACATGATAAACTAACAAGAATATTTGTATTTGTATATTTTTATATAAAATATTTTCTTATTCTTTTAAAAAAACTACACACTTTATTTGTATTTCACCAGTTTTCTTAATAAATAATATCTTTTTATTTCCCTTTGGGCTTCAGACTAAGGCTCCATATTACATGCAGTTTTCATGACACCTTAGATACATCCAGTCCGGGTTTGACTTTTCCACCTTTCCTTGTTTTCCTTATATTGGAAACTGAAGTATGCTGTTCAGGAATTTTGCACCATGTTCCTCAATTTTGGCTCTCTCAATGTTTTCTCATTATTCAGCTGGGGTTATTAACCAAGATCCCATGGTTAGTAAGCTGTGGATACGACCCCAGGTTCCATCCATCCTATTGGAGTGCTTCTTCTAAAATGTTGCCTTGTGATTGGTTTTAGCCAGTAGGACGCATCAAAACTAAGGTTGCCCATATTTCCAATCATCTTCTTGTAGAGTTATAGAAATACCAGGTCTTTGGAACTAGTACTCATGATTTTTTTTCTCTGATTTATGCACAATCCCAGCCAAATTATTGTCCAGCTGATACAACTGAATCCATTCTCCAATGCATTCTTAGGAAATGTGGTCTTCTCTCTACACTGAGCTCCTCCCTAGGTTTTCATCTTCCAGGTCTCAGGCCCAGAATTCTTTACAATTCTTGCTAGCTGACTTTAATACTCCTCAGTGGGAGCCTGCCATGCATGAGGTTTGGGTTTGATCCCCAGCACCGCAAAAAAATCTCTTTCCATTCACCCTGTGAACCTGCTAGCAAAATGTTTCCAAATTCCGCAGTAAAGAGGCTATATTTTCTTATTCTTAATTTCAAATTGTGAGTATATATGTTTTTAAAAAAGATTCAAATAGCTGACAAATGGCTGCAAAGGAGCCTGTGTTCATACACAGCCTATGTTCATTGACTGCTTGTAGATGTGTGAATTGTGATAACGTTGTGGGAAGACTTCTCCACCAAGGTCTGTGAATGTTTATCGTGGCTTTTTCTAACCCTGCATTATCTGGACCCTGACCAAGATACCTTTCTGAGGTAATTGCTTGCCTCTCTCTCCTGTGCCTCAGCCACAATGGCATCCCCATTCCACAATGGCATCCCCATCCGTTCTCCAGCAGTCTAGCATGGACCTCTCAGGACCTCTCTCTGGACCTTGGTGCCTGCCACTCTTTCTGATTGCTCTTCCTTTACTTTTTTTTTTTTTTTTTTCTTTTTTCGGTTTTTTTCCGGTACCGGGAATTGAACTCACGACCTTGCGCTTGCCAGGCAGGTGCTTTGCCGCTGAGCTAAATCCCCAGCCCTGCTTTTCCTTTACTTAACCCTCCTCGTGGCTTACACCCTCCAGTCATTCAGATACCTGATCCATCCTCTTCTTGAAGAGGTCTTTTCTAACTATCCCATCAAAATAATAAATAAATTATCCCTAACTTTCTATCCCTTATTTGGCTTCATACAAAGGATAATATTGTTACTTATTAGATTATTGCCTGTCCTTTCCACTAGAACAGATGTTCTATAAGAACAGAAGCTTTGTTTTGTTTGCTGCCCCATTCCTAGAGTTGAACAGGTACACAAAAGGCATTAAATAAGGACCTGCTGCAGGCTGGGTTATTTATGGAAGCAAATGACCAAAAATGTAAACAAACTGAATACTCATTGTTAAGAGAAGGGTTGGATGAATTTTCACCCAGGAACATAAATTGTCAATCAATAACATGAAGTATTATGCAGTTACTGAGGATCATGGAATAAGATCTATATCCCTGAGATTTCCAAAACTTACTAAGAAAGAAGTACAATTTGGGTATATTGGGGTCTTGAACAATTATATAACTATCTATCTATTTATCTATCTATCTATCTATCTATCTATCTATCTATCCACCTATCATCTATGTATCTACTCGTGAATACACGAAAATGGGTATAGAAAATGGATACTCACACGGTTGCATGCATTGACTATCGAGCGAAATGGATAGTGTGAGTGCTGATTGTTGGGAAGGTTTGGGATAAGGGAACCCAAGGGTTAAAGGTTGGCTGTGATAGATGTATAAATGACTATCAGTGGGCATCTTTACCTGCTTCTGCTAGATACATTTCACAGCAATGTCAATCAAATCAATCTCTACTCCACACTCTCAGTGAGCTTAGTGTCAAACTCTGACTCTTGTTTAGGAATTTATTTGGCCGCCAGTCATTTCTCTCCATGGAAATTCCATGCTGACGCTCTGGCATGCTGAAGCGCAGGTTCCAGGCACTGTACTTTCAGTCTTGCCCCTGCCTGTCTCTTGCAATCTCTGCATTCTCTGATAGAAGATAATTGCTGTTTACTGATGTACTTTACCCTTGTTTCTCGTGCACGGATGCCTTGATACTTTCCTTGCCCTTCTCCTTTGGGAGCTCTGAGGAAAGCCTACAGAACTGACGGCAGCCAGTTCAGGGTTTTGTGGTTCAGTAGGGCGCATAACATTCCTGAGCAAGGCAGATGTGCCTGGGGGAACGGCAACTTTAAGTCAATGGTTATGTGCTTCACATACATGCAGAGAACGCTGCGGGACCCTTCAGGAGAAATTTGGGGAAACATTATTGTTAGAAATGGTAAACACTGAAAATAAAGCAACATTGTTGTAGAAATATAAGAATAAGGCAAAATATACAGTTTGAATAATTAAAACTACAGTTAATGACCAGAAAACCCATATTTTAGGGTAAGAATGTGTGTCTTTTTTTGTCATAGCTTTTAATTGCTTGAAATTTCAGATTCATTAGCCTTGGTTATATGTTTCACAAGCTCTAAATATAGGGTTGTGAACTCTGTTTGTTGCCATTGGTGGCAATTTTCACTCATCTGTCTCCACTTTCAGTACAATAATTTAGGAATACCAGTTCTAAACTTAAGCTCTCTGAGAGCAAGATAAATATTTCATAGTGACTTTCATTTGAAAAGGTACAGTGGTTTTGCTACCAGAGGAATGTGCTATTTCTTTTTTGATAGGTTTCTAGTTTACTGCTATTTTCAAGATAAATATCCATGGTATAACTTTGAAAGAAAATTAAAAATTATCCCTTTACAATAAGAAAGTGGATCATGACTCATTTTGATGTCATAAAATTTAAAAATCATTT